CACACACACACACACACACACACACACACACACACACACACACAGAAATGCTGCATTGTGCTGTGTCTGGGGGTGGGCTGGGTGGGGATGAAAAGATAGAGGGCTGTCAGTCTACTACATTCTTTTCCTACACCTCTGGGATGTAACGCACATTCGTAATCTCTCCAAAACCACATCCAAAGTAATTAAGACATGTCACTGTCTGCAGAGCTGGAGACAAGAATCGTGTAGTCTACAGAGATTGTATCACTTTAAGTAACAGGCAATGAGATTGTTAAGTATAATAACCCCATCCCCTGTGCGATGCTTCTGTTATAATACAGTATTGTCCAGGCTACTGCATTCGATACCACATGAACACTTACGGTTGTACTGAGATATATAGTATCTCACACAACTAAAACATGTTTTGTTTTGTTTTGTACATGAAGTTTGATTTATACATTGTTGTGCCTTTCATCAAAGTTTGATCAAACTCTGTTATAAAGAAGACTTTGATAGGTTATAAGGTAGAAAACAAATGTGAAACTTTTCCCGTAAACCCTGTGTCGCCTGCCTTCTCCCAGATATACGAGAGAAGCCTACAGGTCCTTCAACAAAGAGCACAAAAGCTCCAAAACAACAACACAAAAAACAAAACAAAAAAACCCCATGGCATAAAATCCTGTCTGCTCACCACGGGCCACAAATCCAATCCAGCAATCCAAGAGAGCGCAGGTAGCAAAACTTCAAAATCATAAAGTGCTCTCCAGAAGCCACTCAGACCTCGAGAGCTTGTCCCTGGCCCGGCGAATGTTTGTTGTGCTCTCGAGCTGCGGCAGCTCTCCGCTCATTGACAGGCTGCGTTTGGAGCGCAGGCTGGCCCCGGTTTTTGGGTAGGCCACGTAGCAGCGCTCCGCGTACGACTCTGCGTTGAACGAGTGCCTGCGGTTCACCCTCGCCCCTCCTGCGGGAACAGTCATGTATTGTCGAGCAACTTGATGGGGCCGCGGAGCCCTGGGGATGGCAGTCAACTTGGTGGGCTGGCCCGGTACAGCGAGAGTGATGGCTTGGGCCGTTTTCACTTCCGACGAGTTATTCCGGTTCATGTTGTCGAGCTCGACATCTGCTTCGGCTCGGCGAGCCTCAGAGGGTTTTGTCGGAGCGGTCGAATGCTTGGGTCTCGGAGTGCCCGGGGAGGCTGGGTGCCAGCTGTGACTTCCAGCTGAGGTAGAGACCGTGCAGTCAGGGACAGACGGTTTCGTGGATGCCACCACGACAGGCGGTCGCTGCTTGGCTGGCTCCGGGGCAGGCAGGGCGACACGGAGGCAGTCCTTGTCATTCTTCTCTGGCCGCAGAACCTGCTTAGAGAGGGACTTGGGAATCCCACAGCCCTGTAGCTGTCCATCACTGCTCAGTGACCTAATATCCCCCATCTCTAGCGCCTGACAGGAGACAGGGAGAAGGCAAGAGCGAGAGGAATGAAAGCAAATCTATGAGACACACATTTCAATACAGACAGAACTAATAAGGATTAAAAGAACAAAATGCAAGGAATCGTCGCTCACTGACCTTATCAGTATCCCCTTGGTTACACACCCGATAACGCACAATGAGGAAGATGATAAAAGCGAGCACAGACGCCACGATAATCCCTCCGATGATAACCACAATGGTACCACCGAGAAACTGGGACTGCATGAAATGGCATCTCAGGTACTGCGGCTCAGTGGTAAAGTGGATGCAACCAATCACCCTGGTGGCGGTCAGCGAGGTCACCTGGTCGTCATAGATGGCCAACACGCACAAGTCGTAGTGCGTACCAGCCGCCAGGTTGTTTACTAAGATGCTCTTACTGGTCGGGGGTATCATCCTGTAAAAAAAACAAGAAGAAGAAGAAGAAGAAGAAAAAGAAAAAGAAGAAAAGGCTTTGTGACTGTTCCGACATACTTTAGATTAGAGAAGGCTGAATGAAAGGAGACAGAGCAAATCAGATTATCAGCCTTATTGTTTTGTAGGGATAAAAATGACATGACAATCATTTATCTCTCAGGGGGCTATTTACGATCTGTCTAGGCGTAATCTTTTGTGACATTTGATTTATTCTCTCAAACATCATTACAGATAAAAGGTTGCTTCGGTAGCTGGGGACACGCGGATCCCCCGTTTGTTCACAACATCAAGATTACAGGACGGGACACAACTCTTTAATGTCTCTTTAATTCTGTGGCCGCGGCTGAAACACCATATGTGTTACTGACTTTGAAGTTCATTTAGGGAGAAAAAAAAAGGGTGGTGGTGGGGGGCAGTGGGGTATCTTGCGAAATGATCCTATCATATCACAGTGATTAGCACAAAATATGCGGTGAAAGGGTGCAGAGATGAAAGTATCCTGTGTACGCCAGTTCCTCAGATGGGCATGTGTGAAGCCTCTGATGCTTTTTTTGTAAAAACTGTGGAAGACTAGTCTTTCATCTTCCTATGAGTCCGCAGCTTAGTGCTGACATTCTGTTTTGATTTTGTTGATTAAGCATTATCAAGCTTCTGCACGTCGTAAATGACACACTCCAGCAAGGGGAGATTACGAGTCGAAGAATGAGAAGTCAGATACAGCGCATTAGTCTATCTTCCTGATAGGATTAATAGACGCCACAAATAATCGCGTTGACAGCCAGGTCCATTTCTTAATGACTAAACATCCAAAGTGATTTAGAGATTCAAAGAACACCGTGAAGGTAAAACAAGGGCCGTGGAACGCATACATATGCTTAGATTCAGCTTTAAACTTTGTTGGGCAGTAAGAAAATGAGCTTTTTCTTCTTCACATCTGCTCACCTGTATACCAATGAATCATCGTACGTCCCATTATATTGGATCTGAAACATGCGGATTCCAGGAATACTCCTGTGGAAGTTGAACCTGACCAGAGCTGAGGTCGAGGTGGCCTCAGCAATTACTACTTTCTTCTCCTGGCTCGTCTTTGCATTCCCCAGAGGCACCCCTCCTGCCTCTGCGCCCGTCTTGGTCACTGTGGCGATATCTGATGAGCCGGGGTCACGCTCCTGCTCCTCGACTGTGTTATTGGTGATGTGAGGGAGTTTGGTAATGACCAGCTTTACTGCACTGTGGGCCTCTCCGGCTGGGTTGGAAGCCACACAGGTAAAGGAACCTGAAACAAAAACCAAACAGATTAACTTTCTCCTGCCTTAAATTCATCACAATGTACAAATAAGCCCTGTGGGTCAGAAATGTGTAATAGAGAGCTTGGCAAAGAACCAATTATATATATTATTAGTTCCAATTTCTTCCGTTGAATCTATCAGAAAATGCCAAAGATGATACTTAATTGTGCAACAACAACATCTACAGAAGATGAACAGTTTCTGAAAGTCATAACCTTAAGAAATAACAGGAAGAAATCAGCAAAGACCTGTTAGATGCATCTGGATGTTCAGCTAATCCATTTACTGTCCAAGCCATTTCTGATACACTTCAGTGGAAATGTGACTGTCAATAAGCCCTTCTTAAGGAAGGGAAACAGGGAGAAAAGTCTGAGGTATGCCAAATTACACAAGAACCTGACTGAAAGTCAGTGGCAACAGGTCTTATGGAGTGCCAAATCCAAATTTGAAAAATTTGGCTCAAATTTTTGACAATATAGAGGAGGTCAGGAGAGAAGTACAACAGTGACCGTCTACAGCCATCTATAAAACATCTCTAAAACATGGTGGAGGCTCTGCATTTAGCCACTTTTGTGGATCTTCTAAACATGTGTGGATATATAAATGCAGAAAGGTACCCTAACATTTTGATCCATACATGAGCCGGTGCAGTAAAAGCATAGCTAAACAGAAAAATACACACAATAGAACACTATCAGTCATGGATTGACCTCTCTGGAGCAAGGACCTCAACATTACTGAAGTAGTGTGAGATAATCTTGACAGAGAACAGAATAAAAGGGAAAAAACATCCAAAGAAGAGCTTTGAATGTCCTTCAAGAAGCCCAGAGAACTATTCATGAAGACTACTTAAAGAAATGACAAGAAGTCACCTAAGAGAGTTCAGGCTGTGTTGAAGAATAAAGGTGACCATATCAAACATTGACTTTCAACTTTGTTACAATTGTACAAACTCTATTAGTTCCTCATAGTCTGTATTTCCATATATAATTACACTTGCTTCACTAAGTCACTGCACCTGTTTCCAATTTTCCTAACCAAATATAAAGAAATGAGGAGTGGCTCAAGACATTTGCACAGTACTGTATATTCTCTTGTGCACTGTGATCATTGCACAACTTCCTCGTCTGCTTGGTGTAACGGTTGTGCAGACAAATCAGAGTGGTCACAAACAAAGCACAGAGCCATGCATACTCTCTGTGTTTCTGAATTATACATTACTCTGACCTTAGAGGATCCTCCGGCTCTGCTGATGTGAATTATAACACCAGAATAAACTGAAATGAACTGAAATGGAGGTAGTGGGCTATTTTTCACCTGCTTTTTTGTCTGTTCTTTCCATCCTGTACAAATTTATGCTTGACTCCATTTGTTTTTACTGACTTTGTGTGAAAATTTCTTTGGATACAAGGCAAAAACTGCAGTTTTTCAAATGGTCCCCTGAGGCTGACTCCAAAAGGCTAGTCAGTGATAAACTCCCATGCTGAAATGCGACTATTTCCAGCAAAAACACATCAAATAAATTGAATTTAAAAAAAAAAACAAAGGTTACAAAAACAGTTTCAGTCCTTCTAGCTGATTTCCCCATTCATGACAACTGTGCAGTTTTCAAATTGTGCATTTTTAGGGGTCAGTCTGTGCGGACAGATGGTTGCCAAGACAGGCGGATATAGCCAGTAGCTCTCTACGAGGCTTCACCGTAAACAATTTAAATGAGTGAACTGGACCAGACTTGATGTTTATGGTGTTGGTGCTTTTCACTGCACTCTTAATGCAAATATCTGACAAATAAAAGTGCTTTCTGTGTGCCTAATTGGACTAACAGATCGTCCAAGAAGTCTGTGCTCTGCGAGTCAAATTCTGGTATTTCATTTTTATGTTACTTAGCACTAATTACCAGATATGCGATCTGTGCAAAACACCCATCCAGTCTGTTCTTTCAACAGTAGCTTTTACTTAGCACCCCCCTCCCCTCTTATTTATGGTCACTTCTGGCTTCAGACTGGAAACATTGGAAAAACATCACCTAGCTCTCTCCAAAGGAAAACAAGCTCAGCCTTCCAGCCCTTATGGACTAATTAATACAAAATATCTAATCTTTCTAGTGTTGTACTTGAAAAGCTTCTGCTTTGAATCAGGACAGTTCTAAGGACTACCTCGGGATAAGTACCCACTGTGGAAGTCCTGAGCAACTAGATATCAAATTCCAAGTTTTTTACCTAAGCAGCACTAACAGAAACTCTAAAATGATGTAATAGTCAGCCAGCGGCTGGTAATACAGCATCACCTCTTGCTGTGGTCTTTTATTTTTCTTTCTAATCCTGTTTCGGTCTCTGCACGTTCTGTCCACATAGCTTCACTGTGGTCGACACCTCGTATCAAACTGATGAACATTGCTAGTGAAGATTTTTTAACATTTCGCTTTGATGAGTCCGAATCACATCATGTATCTTGTGTTGCACATAAGCTCAATACAGCCTGGAGTCCACTATCAGTTCACTTCTCTGAGCTTTCGTGCCATTTTAAAGGCTAGCATGGGGAGGTCTGTGTTTCCTGCCAAATGTTTCACCAGCTGGAGCTTATAATGGCAGTAGCTTTTGATAGTTTTGCTTGTGTGTTTGATCAGTCAACACTTACATCTAGACTAGTCACACAGCACGTCCCGTCACTCCAACTTCCTTCAAAGCTAAAGCAGAAACAGTACTTACACCGGCACAAGGAGCTTACAAAGGACCTTTAGCTTCGGCTGCTGGCGATAGTGAATACGAATGTGTTTCAAGATGTTAGACACTGTTTCTGGAAAATTTCAGGTATCTAAAATGTTAATTGTTAACAAGTAAAAGTGTCAAAACACATTTCTTTGCAAACAGATGCATGTGACAGGAACTTTGCCACGAATCAGCACACAGGCACGTCTCCACACTCAAAACTTTATCACCCGGTGTAGGTAAATACTACAGCCTTCCATGCTTATGTGCAAGCAAACAACTAATTCCGCTCCGTCAACAACATAAAAGCCCAGTCAGTGCAGTGTAAACAGACCGGAGTCCTTGACAGTGCTGATTAGGATGTCCAGCGTGCCGTCGGTGTGGACTACAGCCCTGGAGGAGTTGGACATAAGGCGTCCATCAGGTGCAATCCAGTGGATAATGGGGTCAGGGTCGCCCCTAGCCTTGCAGCGCAGAGTCACACTCTGACCCTCCAAAGCTCGCAGCTCCTGAGGCAAAGGGAGGAACAGGCAATCAGAGCGAGAGCTTCTTTTAACACCAATTACATAATGACCCTGATCAAAACTGAAAAACACAAATTACACACAGAAGTACTTTTGTGCTGCACGGTGTGGCTTAGATATTATTATTAATGCCGTTACTGATGATGTTGCGTTTCACAATCTCATTCCCTGTGAATGTAATCAGCAATTGATCATTGTCATTTTACTGAATTAGCATTATTATAACGGGAAGATCATCAATGAGACAGTACATCGCAGTTCATACGCTTGAGTCCAAATATAAGTTCATTTTCTCTGCAATTATGCAAAATAGGTCTGCTGAATGTAAATGAGATGATATATCTGTAGTTCTTTGGCAAGGATTTGATCAGATAATTTTGTTTGGATGCATGAATCAAGGATAGAATCAGTCCGAGCTTCCACTGTGTATTGAGAGCTGCACTGCGGTTCCATCGCTAAACTGCAAATAGCTTTATTAAAACTGAAAATCTGACCAAAGAACTCCTCTAAAAACACCATCAGGTGCTGCAGCTTGATTTCATTTTTCAAGCACTTTATTTTTTATGATTTGCGAGCTGAGTGGCCCAGATGAGTCCCACAACTCTTGTAAGAGTTCTCTGAATCACAAAGCTAATATTTGGTGTGACAGTCAAAGGCAGCAAATAGTGCAACCTTGGATTAACTAAGGCAAAATCCGATGTGTGGCTCAGAGTGAAGCAGTACAGAATATTGCGTCTTAACGGTCCACAGCTTAACTCGAAGACGTACCTGAGAGTACCTGGTGATGAGAGGAGGCTCGCACAGGAACTCCTCTTCCGAAACAGTCCAGAAATAGCGTCCGGCGAGGTGTTGCGGTGAAGCACAGGTCTCCAGATCATCCTCCCTCTGCAACCTCCGCAGCCAAAGAAGCTCACAGTTACACCTCAGTGGGTTGCCCCCAAAGCTCAGTGCGAACGATGTAGGCCCCATTTTCCCAGATGTTGCCAGGACCCCAGCTCTCTGGAAAATAGGATCAGGAGGAAGCTTCTGGAGCTTGTTGGAGGTCACATCCAATCGCTTAAGCTTCTGCAACCCAGAGAAGGTGCCCTCTGGGATGTAGCTGAGCATGTTGTGATCCAAATTGAGCGTATGGAGATTGGACATCCTCTGAATGGCCACCCAGGGGGCGCTTTCCAAGTTGTTGTAAGACAGGTCCAGCTCCTCCAGTGCTGTCAGGTCATTAAAGGCCCCGCTTTGGATGTGGGTGAGCTGGTTGTTGTTGAGGATGAGGTGGTGCAGCTTGGACATGCCGCTGAAGGTGTCGTTGTTGATGCGGGTAAGCCGGTTGCTGTCGAGGTGAAGAGCTCGTAGGTTCTCCAGATCTCTGAACGCGTGAGGCGCGATGGAGCCAATAGTGTTCCGAGACAGAGTCAGATCCACCAGCTTGGTCATGTTTGCAAAGTCTTTGCGTTTGATGCTGGTTACAAAGTTATCCCCAAGACGCATCTCCACCGTGTGCCTGTCAATGTTAGGGGGCACAAACAGAAGCCCCTTTTTGTCACACAGTGTGGCCAAATTAGGGTTAAGCACCTGGCAGACGCAGCGTTTGGGACAGATTTGAACTTTGTGGGCCTTCACAGCCACACCGAGGATGATCAGATACACCAGGAGAGACTCCATTTGGCTTGTCATCAGGTTGATGCGCCTAAAAAATAAACGAATGAGAGACAGAGATGATCAAGCTGTTTGTGAAAATGGCAACAAGTGCAAACCCTGAGATCTATAATTCAAGCTGGGCAAAGTCACATTTAAAAAAGGAAAGAAAAATGGGCAATTCTGCTCTGCAAAGTTAAAGATTTTCCACTAGGCTGCAAACACTATTACTGTCAGCTCACAGCTCTCGTTTTTATAGCGCAAAGTCTGAGCAAGAAGCTAAGCAAATCGATGCCTGAACAAACAATAAATGCTGCACCATTAGACATGAAACTAATTAGTCACCTGCCGACTTGAGAGTGAAACATCCCTGGTAGTCTTGTAAGGTTTTTGTGACAGCTCTCCTTCTAAGCCCCTACTCCTCTGATCATACTTTTTTTTAATATATGATCATGCCAGTCCTTTTATGTTTGTGTACAGAAGGATGAAAGTCTAGACTGGCAGTCCAGGGTCTCATCAGAATTATCCTGATATCTCCCAGGATCATATCGCCAATAGGAAGGGATGATTGGGCCCTGTGCCTCAGCGAAGATGTGCTATGCCTTGTTATTGATTTTCTCTCTTCTCTCCCTGATGCTGCTCTTACTTATGACACAGCTGAGATGTGGGGGGAATAAGGAGGGATCCATTTGATGCATCCTGAGACATTGTCAGGGATATAGCATCTCATAAAAGTAAGACTTTGGAGATCAGATGTACCAGAGCAAGAGTGACAGAAGTCGAGATTATATTTACTCTTTTTCTTTCTCCTTTTTTTGGTTGAACATGCAATATTCAGCCCTCTGGGTGTCCAATTACAGCACACAGAAAAGGACACCAATCAAATCAAACACAGAGAACAGGAGATCCAATCCCACAACCTGGGTGAAAATCCAAAGGCCGACCTTTAAATACAGACGAGAACGGCTGATTTATGATTACAGCTTCCTGTGGTTTGCCGGTAATGCCTCTATTGTCCGTGTTGGGACTCTAAGAGTGTGCAGAAGAAAAAAAAACAGTTAAAAAAAATCCAGCCTTAGCAGAGAGGCCTGTCAACTGAGTGCCTTCATGTTTCAAAAGATTCTGTTGCACTGGAGCGGTGACACACAACTCCCGGTGTAATAACCTTGATAGAGTGAGAATGAAGAAAATATCATAGAGTAAAGAAAACAGCAGACAGGACAGGTGTGATACCCTGCCATGCGAGGGCATGCGGTGCCATTCGCTGACAGCTGGGTAAAACGTATTACAGCCCTAACGAGGAGGCAGGAACCATTCCTTTTAAAATGGGCCATAATAGGAAGGGGAGGAATGATATTGTTGGAGACAGAGAGAGAGAGAGAGCACGCTGGGTATGACATTTTCATGAACGCTGCTGATGAAGCAGCGGAGAATAAATGTCTTTTTCTGACCCATTTTTACACGGGACAACATTACCAAATCCCACAAGATGTGTGCGGGGAGCCGCGGTGCACCGATCTGAGCTGGCGAGAAATGGACCGTGGGATCATTATTTAATGTTGTCATGACTCTCTTTAAAGAGAGCAGATGACTTCACCGTGAAGCAGTGCTGCAAAGCCGTGTGTAGTGCTTTCCAAGTATGCGTGCAAACTATCGACTTTTTATGTGCGCGCACAAGCGTGAGAGGACAGCCTGCCTAAGTGTGTTCACGTTGGTGTGCCAACCACCTTCTGCTCTGACTCTGAATGGTACGGCCTCTGGTTGTGCAATGAGGCAGAGAGGACCTGCTACTTCCAGACTCGAATGGCGCTGAAGACACGATATTGATTCACTCTGTGGAGATGAGGCTTCTTCTTTCTATTTTTTTTTTCATGGCTGAAAACTCAGCCAAACGTGAAGAGAATGGTTGCAACAGTAATCTCTACAAAATTTGTTCTGTGAGGACAAAAGGACAGCCGCTCGCTGCTTAGATGGGCCAGGAAATATCTCTTACTGTCTCCTCAATTTGCATTTAATTACTGGTCTTCCACAGAGATTTGCATAACAGGTTGCACTCATCAGGTACATGAACAAATAAGTAGATGATCAATCAATGTATTCATCAATCACACACTTCATCTTCAAATGTCAACCTCCCCCCCAAAACCTCACAGAAAATCATTATCCACTAGGTCGGCCTGTTCATTATAGTGGAGCGACTTGGGAGGGCCACAAATAAACAAGAAAACAGATAATCTAGTGATGCATTAACCATAATCTCCTTCTTAGTCAATCAAGTGTTCGTTTACTACCTCTGAGCAGGTCTTTTCACCCTCGGAGAAAAGAACAGACTGACAGCACACTCCCACACATAAGCACACACACCAGTGGGTGGGGATTTGTGCCTAATAGAGCCAGATCACTACACAACAACCCCCCTTCCTCATCCCCAGCTACAGAGACACATTCATGTGCAGCAGCAGCAGCAGTAGCAGTTACCAGTAGGAGAGGGTATCTATAGCCTCCCTGGGGTGGCATTGGCCAAGAAAAACCTTATGCAGCATGCTGCATGCCAATCCGGCCGGTGAGGTCATGGGGGATATGTTTTCAGATGGTCTAACTTATGCTGGAGCTCATGTGAGAAAGCCTCTGCAATCCGCGTCTGGGCAGGAAATCAGGGAAAGCATCCCTGCGAGGAGGGGAAGATAATGAGATGAAGTCTGCCAGCGTCTCCACGCAGGTCGGCACAACAGCAACGGCGGCGGTGGCATCTCGGTTTGCGTCTCACCTGAGTTGGCCGGTGGGAGGTGGTGGAGGGTGGAGAGGCCGGACATTTGCTACACTGCCAAAAATATATGTATATATATAAGCTGTGTTGTGTCAAGGAGGTAAACTGATGCTGCAATGTGACGGTAAAACGGTATCGACAAAACAGTGAAACAGCTCCTCATCCTGCCTGCTTTTATGAGAGCAAATGGAGCCGCAGCATCTGCTGAAGTGGATCATATTTTGACTGAGCTGGTAGAAATTCTATGTTGTCGGGTAAACGCTTGTGTAGGTAAGAGCAGCAGACCAAACATCGATGCTGTGAAGCACCATCCAACTCACTAACACATGTGAATGTGGCCATGTGCTGTGACACCCTGGCTTCCTTTCGTTTTTCTTTTTTTTCTTACAGAGTCTGCAAATGTTAGAACGTGATAGCTCTTTGGGTGACAGCCTTGATGCCATGGCAACACCGCAAACGTCAGTTTTAGGGTGAGATGTAATCAGTGGCTGATTTTTTTTTCTTCTTCAGATAACCTAATATTATTTAGAACAAAGAGTCCTCTCCGAAGGAAAAGGACCTTGACAACTCTTTTGCTCGAAGGCCAGAGCAGACCCACTGTAGCATTTATGATGAGGAGATTGTGCACTCAGCTAATTCTGGATTGAATTGGATTTTTTCTCCCAGTCTTGCACGTAATAAAAGCCAAAATGACTTGATGGGGAAATCTGATGCAGATTAAATGATTTCTCAGCCCGTGAGTGCATGTCTACCCATCCACATGCGTGCCAGACGGACGGCATACTAAGCAGACCCAGCTGCATCAACAGAAGTGCAGTTCATCAGCATTTACATCGCCTTCTTGTAATTTTTCCCCCTTCATCACAAGAAATTCACCTTGATACACTAGACACCTCGTGACCGGGGGCGTATAAGCACTTTGCATATTCTTCTTTGAGCATTTCACTGAAGCAGGTGACAGATTTTAAATTCTGATCACCGATTTGTGATCTTAATTCTTGCACCGTTGCGACGTGCCCTGAAGTGATGGGCTTATGACCTGGGATTGTCTTCTGGTAGAAAGGGAACACAGAATCCTCAAACACTAAGTCTGAATATCAATGTGGCCTCCTCAAGTTGAATATTCTACATGATACATACCAGCAGGTGTGCAGATACTCACATCTGTCAGTTCCAAAGTGAATTTCGGGTAAAGGAAGTGCAAAAACACTTCTATTGGTGACAGCACGACTCCCTCATGTTATCATTTACATGTGTGTGAGGGGAAGGGGGGCAGCCATCAGCCATAATGAGATCTCCGCACCTTCTGACTCATTTTCCTTCTTTCAAAGACCCCCAGGATACTGGATTTCTACCTCATGTAGCAGCACTAGCCAAATTGTCTTTTTTTAAAAAAAAAAAAGCTTAATAATGCATAAATCTCCTTTACCTTATTAAGTTGTGTAACCATAAGGCATCTCTCACATACTACACATGTGAAGCAGGTGTGCAAGTTTGTGTGAGCCATATCTCAGTTTCAGATCTGGATGCAAGCACTTCTCCAGTGGGGGAAAAAAGCTACACAAAACCTAATTTGTGGGGAGACAAATTTGGGTCAGCGAGTGTGGAGCTGGTCTGCAGAAAAGCCCGGGTGCTGAGGAGCCACACATCACTCCTCCTCCGTTAGTGAAAGGAAGCAGCACATAAGCACCAACATTTGAGTGCATTCACAGAGCACAGAGAGCAAATAGAAGCAGCAAAATGAGGCGTGGGCCTTGTTTCACTGGTGTAGCAGTTACAATCATGCCTCGGGCACTCATGAATAATAAGATACGTGATAACTAACACTCCTCAGACAGGACCATTATACCTCATCCTTTATAAAATAAAAAAAATCACTAGGACCATTTACCCCATACCACCTCCTCCTCATCCCACAGACTTACGATCCTGTTATCAGTTTAGGCTCATTTAGACTTCATCACAGCTTAATTACTGATGAGGAATTTGCATATCAGTTATGGGTTTGACCAGAACACACCAGAGACAAATCTCTCTAAAACACACAAGAAAACACAAAACACATGCAATAAATCAGCCTTTTCCTGCACATGAATCACAGCCACCACGGCCATTATTCTCAGTTTCACCTATATCAGGGGGGAGGGAAAAAGCAGCACCAAACACATACAAATGGATACTAAAAATAAATTAAATTGGCGTGTGAGATTTTTTTTGACCTTGCGGTACAGGTCCTGGGCTGGTGGGGTTACAGCCACAACCCATGTCACAAGGGAAAATCTGAGCGCATTCAGACGGGTCCTAAGAGAACTACTTCAAGTCAATATTTCGCTTCTTGAAAGACAGACTCCGCAAAAGAGTTCACACGCTCCAATTCACACCAAAGGCAGCCTGTAAAATACTGATTTTTATTATTTTACCTTGTAGCTGAAACATGGAGCCAAGTCACAGGAGGGTGGGTTTGAGCTTATTTCCTCCCAAGGGGGCTGGCGGCATACCGAGAGTGGCGTGCCTTAAAAAAGAAATGTGCTGCCTGGAGATAATTCAGGTGTCCCGAAACACGCGTCTTGGTTCCTACAGCATGTGACGGCCTGCGAAACCAGCGATGCCCTTCAAGAAATCCATAACCAGCAGATAAAGGACGGCTCCTTTGCGATCCTGTGTGAGCGGTAAAATGTTACTCTAATTCCCCCTATCGAAAAAAAGGACTAGACAACAGGCAACCCCCCAAACAAACAGGAAAAAACCCACACACAAGCTGAAGGGTCCCGGCGTGGCTCTGAAGCTGCAGCTGTATAGGGATCGTCTCTACTGCGCATCCGCCTGGATGCAGCTCCAGAAGAGAAAACGCCTCTGTAGCTTTGTAGCGACGGGCAGCTTTAACATCTACAGCAGCGCTGTGAGCGACTGCTGTTTCCGCTGCTGCTGCCGCTACTGTGCTCAATCCGGCCAGATGTTCGTATCGCTTTCACGGGCTTTCGCTGGCGACGCAGGGTTCAGTGTGAGTTAATCCAGATTGACTGAAGGGTTGCTGCCGTAATATATCCCCTCCCCTTCCCCTTCCCCTCCTTACTGCCCCCGGACTACTGTCAACCACCGACCCGGCTCCATTTCTGACCAGAGGTGTTGTGCTCGGAATGGTAATCGGTGCGCTCTGAGCTGCACAGAGACCATTTGTGTGCACAGACAGATGCAGTGCCTCCCAGCCTATCTCACAGGCAGGCATCATCATTTATTCATGGAGACTGAACTCTGCTGCACGAACGTTGAGTAGATTGAGCTTATGATATTCTCTAAGAATTCAATTTGATTAAATGAAGAAGAAAAAAATATGGGGCTGAGATGCTGATGCAGATTCAGACATGCAGGACATGAAGGCTAAGAAAGCCAGGCAACAACAAGCAGCCCGTAGGCTTAAGCAAGACTGGTATTGAAAAATCCATCCATTCTCTTGGATCAAACCTCTGCTGCTGCAGGTGCTTCTAGTGGGTGAACGCCAAAAATAGGCTATAGCTGAACAATGCTGCATGTATTACATAGATTATTGGCAAGAAAGTGTTGAGTTGGCTGAAAGAGAAAGGCCCGGCTCCCCCGTGGGTCTGCTTGGCGCTGGACCCATCCCTATCTGATGCAATGATCCTATGGCCTTTTGTGCAAGTTGGCAAAGTAGCCTATATGTGCACAAGTGTATTCAAGTGCAGCAGCACTGTAGTTTTCTTGGACTTTCTGGTTTTTTTGCTCCTGTAAGAACAATGACCTATACCACCCCAGGGCCTTACAGCACTTTGAAATAGGTGTTTGTTGTCATCCAAAAGAATTACCCTGAGGATCTCTACTCTAGATCAATAACTCCATCCAGTTACAACACACCCACTTGAGATCAATATGAATAGCTTAAGTGGTTTAAGCATTCACTGTTATCCAGAACTGGAAGGGCATGAGCTTTTTGGACCACATGTGTGTTTGTGCACGAACTGTACATGTATGAAAACATGTCACACTATGACTTTATTGTCTCAAAAGATTTGCAGAATCAATGCATCCTTGTGAGCATGATTTTTTTTTTAAACCAGCCACATCAAGAACATGTTAGCATTTTGCTGGTGGGAAGTGTTAATGTCAAGCTTGCATCATGAGCTCACAGTTGGTGATATGAAATGACACTGACATGTCTTAGGCTTTTTGTGATGCGTTCCTTTACTGTTGTGATTCAGACTTTCCTGCTTTGCTTTTCTTTCTTTCTTTCACCGGTGCATGTCCCTCAGGAACCGCTGGTATGTGAGGCTGTCTGCTCGCTCGCCGCTCCGGCTCTTTTTCTCCAAAAACAGGCTCACGGTGTCCCGTGGAGGGTCAGTGATGCTGCGACTCCACAGGGTCTCTGTGATCCCCAGCAGCTCACGCACGCATGCAGAGATGACCTGCGGGGTACACAGCGGGATTTAAGAAAGCACGCTTAATGTTTACATTATCTAACCTTATTTAATAAAGTCGTCCCACTGAGAGGGAGAGGAGAATCTTGTATAACAGGGAGAAAGGTTACAGGGTTACACTCATAAAAACTGATGTATCAAATGACTTACAGGTTAAACCAAAAAATAATTATGACTTAACAGCGTGTACACGCTTCTTTGCTGAGACTGTTTTTCTCCATACCACTCATACCACAGTTTATGCTTCCTGGGAGTTTAGCAGAGTTGAATGGCACATTTAGCCAATTTAGTTATGACCCCAGAAATACAGATTAGAAAAAACAGTCACTGTAACTGTAAACAGCCTATATTGGATAGAGCTGATTTGAGTGTGTTTTCTGGCAGTGATGTTTACAGCACACGCTTTAATTGGATGTCGCGCTGCTCTGAGAAAAAAAAAGAAAGAAAGCCAAACATGTGCTGTTATTTTGTGGTGCTTCCAGTCAACTTGTAGTAGTGCATACTGCAGAGACTTCTAACACAACTGAAGGTGGTTATAACAGTTATTTTTAACACTGTTTTCTGGCTTTTTATGTGTTATATCGTCAAAGAAAGATATAACGCCTTTATAACCTCCCACCACATCTTAAGGGGGATCAATTACACCTTTACCCATGTTTTGACCTTTATAAAGGGGATAATATATGTATGAGTAATCCCTATGAACCTTTAGAGTGCTCTAGACTTTTTCTGCTCTTGGCTCTGTACAATGGCAGTGGGACAGGATGTTCTCAGTATGGCCATCCGAGGCCTTAGATGATAGGAAAGATGGATGCAGTCACTGTGATGTCAACTAGAACATTTTCAGCCTCATCATGTTGGTGTTTTGAAGCCAGCTGTGACTGGAGAGGGATTTGTTTGACTGAGAAACCAACTTATCACTGACAATTTGTCAGGCAACTTCCTCGAAAATCCTCCTTTCTTACTTTTACACAGAATCTTTTTTTACAAACTGGATGTCATGGTTTATTCAAAATGATCTGAAACAAGGGACTGAGTCCTAAAACTCATCAGGAAAGAACTGCTACATTCTATTTTCCCATAGACTTCTATACAACTAAAACCTTTTTTGAAGCTGCCCCCTTTTACTGGTCATTTGCTGGTCATTAAAATATATAAGATTAATTGCATTAAATAGTTCACTTTTTAGACTCAGAAGCTGTCTCAATCTTTGATACTATCTACACTCAATCAATCAGCCAATTAAGTGGCAGCAATTTAATGCATTTTAGGCATATAGACATGGTAAAGATGACCTGCAGAAGTTGTTGGTGCCAGAAGAGGTTGGTTTAACTTTTTCAGAAACTGCTGATCTAATGGGTTTTTTCCTGGACAACCAGAGAATGGTTCAAAAAAGAGAAAATATGGACGAAAATGTTTTGCTGATATAAGAAGTCAGAGGAGAAGGGCCAGGCTACTATGGTAAATGGTAAATGGCCTGTATTTATATAGCGCTTTACTAGTCCCTAAGGACCCCAAAGCGCTTTACATATCCAGTCATCCACCCATTCACACACACATTCACACACTGGTGATGGCAAGCTACATTGTAGCCACAGCCACCCTGGGGCGCACTGACAGAGGCGAGGCTGCCGGACACTGGCGCCACCGGGCCCTCTGACCACCACCAGTAGGCAACGGGTGAAGTGTCTTGCCCAAGGACACAACGACCGAGACTGTCCAAGCCGGGGCTCGAACCGGCAACCTTCCGATTACAAGGCGAACTCCCAACTCTTGAGCCACGATCTACTACTATGAAGCTATGAAGGTAACAGTAATACCAAACTCATTACAATAGGCTGCAGAAGAGCATCTCTAAATGCACACCATGTTGAACCTTGAAGCAGACTGGTTACAGCAGCAGAAGACCGCACCAGGTGCCACTCCTGTCAGCTAGGACCAGGAAACTGAGGCTACAATTCCCATGGGATTATCAGAATAGGATAACAGAAAACTGAAATTTAAGTCTTAGGCAAACAGATCTGGCTTCCGAGCTAGGCAGCCCTACCCACCTGCTGCTCATACGATTTGTTTACAAGTGCCAGCCATTCAGAAGAAAGATGGCTGGTGTGCTGGTGGTTCTTTGTGTCTGGGGGTGGGCGTCCGGGTACACACCGGCTCACTCCTTGGCGGCCGCTTGTCGGGGCCTGGGGCTCGCTCGGGCCCCCTTTGGAGGTGGGGTGCCCCCGGCCTCTCGGCCTGGGGCTCGGTCACTCAGGCACAGCTGGGGGCCGGCGGAGCTCACGGGCGCGTCACTGCAACTCCCCCTGGCTTCTGCTCCGCGGCTGCTGGGCGAGCCCTCATCTGGGACTCTCCTCAGCTCTTACTGGAACAGTGGCGCGGCTGCCCCTCTGTTGGTCTTCCGTGGTCTCTTGTGTTCTGGGGACCTCTGGATGTCTGGAGTTTTTGATCTCCTCCATACCCGCTTCACACCCTGGAGGACGGGGCTGTGGCCCCCCCACACTCCCTAGCAGATCATTACATGGAGAAACCTTTGGAATGCAAGCATGCTGATCCACACAGGTATGCACACAGGTGTACACATGGGTATTCACAGACGCGGACTAAAGCTTTCTTGGCTGCTGCCTCAAAGCACACTGTGCGCTGTCTATCTTGCGTGCTGCACAATATCGTTTATTATTTAGTAACTATTGATATCTATGACTAGCTAGTTTATTGTGATGGTGCTTTGTTTTCTCTATTATTATGTTGCTCTTTGTTGTTTGCTGTCTCCTCTGTTTGTTTTTTTTGTTTGTTTGTTTTTTTTCTCCATACAGGTGACCCAGGAGTTGTTTTTTCCCCCCCCCTTCTCACCGTCTCTTCTCCCCTTTGGTTTTCTTTCTTTCTCTCCCCCTCTTTCTCTCATTCATTCCCCCTGTCCTATTTATTAAAAAAAAAATGACAAAGGATGAACTGAAGCTCTGCCATCACGTAATGTCGCATACTGCTGTTTCTGAGTCATTAAAAAAAAAAAAAAAAAAAAAAAACAGAAGAAAGATGGCTGTTTCAGAGAGAGAGTGACCTTAAAGACTGTACTAATACGCAGTATAAGATAAATACGAATTTGCGTAATCCGCGAATGCTTTCGAAGAATCTAACAATAAAATTATGGAGCGTTAACTTAGCATGACAGATCCCCTTTAAGTGATGTGTCACCAACCCTTTGTGTTTTTAAATGCATAACCTGACTCTATTAAGCCATACATCAAATTTTTTATATCTAAATAGGGCAAGGTGATAAAAATGGTGTTGCTTATTTAGCATCTCATATTACTTACTTGGCAAGTTCTAGCCAACAACTAGAACTAATGCCTCTTTTTAATACCTGCATGTGTTTAAAATCTGTGACTCCCAGTCTTGGCAAGTAGATGCAATTCACGTAAATAAGCTTTCTTCCACTTATGAGGTTGTCCGTGAAACATGCCTGCGACAGAAAGACGTAATAAAGTGAGAAGTTTAAGGAGTGAACTGATTCAATGGAGGCTAACTAGCTTCTTTTTTCACTTTGTCAATGTTGTCACCTAAGGTCAGGTCAGGTTTAACTTACTTTATATTGCGGAAATCCTAAAGACTCAATCCATCTCGCAACATCATGACAATCCCACTGTAGGAACTCCATGTTGCCTCTAAGCATGTTGCCATGGAAACTGTTACCTGGCATTAGGCGTTAATAAGCGTTTACTTCGAAACGTTTTTATAAAATCACTTTTATTTTTATTTTGTCCTAAGAAAGTACCGGGCCTTGTATTTACGGCAAGGGACATCTTTAACACAGAAGTTTGAAAACAGTTTTTTCCTTATCCTGTTTTTTCCAGGATCAATCAAGTGTCAGCGACGACTCAACTGCTATGGCTTTGTTTTCCTCGCCACAGCCAATCAGTGTCTCGTCATTTAGGGTGGCTGGTATACCGCGCAGAACGATTGGCTTTTAAGTTACGTATATCCCGCCCACACTGAAAGGAATCGACGAATGGTTGCGCGCGCAGTTTTCGTTGATCCACACCTTATCCGCATAGGTTCTCCTGGTTCACATCCACACCAGGGACAGGTTGTAGATCGGCGAAAAGCGCAGCTTCGTATTCACCGCTCTGCCCTCTGGAACCTTTCTCAAGCTCAAGTTCTCTTTGCACTCCAACGTCTCCTGGGTCGGTTGAAGGGCTTCGGAGCAGGAAAAAAGCACTGCACTCTCCACAATGGCGGCAATTCTCCGATCCCTTTTAAATAAGAAGGTAGAGTAAGATAATGAACGTGCAATATACAACTGTTTGTTTGGTTCAGTGTTTATGCACCAAACTCGGCTAACAACCTGCGCTGTTAGCTAGCAAAGTCACACGTTGTACACAGTCCACTCCTCCTTTTTGCAAGTACATGACAATATATTAAGTGATTGGTTAGCTAACAACAGGCTTTATTTACATCACGTGGACAGATATGATACGTCAGTGGATCATTCAGACGTGCCTCTTGAGACCTTGCACAGACAGTGATTTAAAAGCTCTAAATAATGGTCTGATATGTCATTTCTCACAGGCCCCCCTCCAGCTGGGTCGTATGTGCTACTCATCCTCCTCAGTGGTAAGAGCCATCACTCAGGACCTTTTATAGCTTAGTAGTGGTGCCGTGTTATGCGCTAAGGGCCGTCTCTTCTGATTGTCAGAAGAGTATGCTT